CGAATACGGCGGCGGCGGCGGCGGGGCATTGGGCAAGCTGGCCTCTGGCCAGGAGGCCCTGACGGCGGCCACCGCAGGCGTGGGTGCCGCACCCGGGGGCTTTGCGGGCCCTGGGGCGCTGCACCAGCGGCAGGGCAGCTTGGGGCGAACCAGATACTTGTAGGGCCGCACTGCTGTGTCCGCGCCCCGGCGCCTCGGCTTGAAGACCCTCACCCTTGCCCCAACGTGGCGCCGAGCCTTGGTATAGAGGCAAGCCAACAATCCCATGCCGCGCGCGGCGGCTGGCGCCATCTGCAGCAAGCTACGCCCCGCTGCCCCCAGCGCGGCCGAGGTAAAGGTGTGGGAGCAAGCGGCCACCCCCGGCACCCCTGTGTTAGCAGGGCACCCCCCTGCCATGGCCGCGCGGGGGGGAGCGCAGGCGGGCGGCTTGCCGCGCACCCAAGAGCGTGCCTCAGCCTGGGCACGTCAACGTCATCGTCTACGCCTGGGCGCGGGAGATCACCTGTCCCCTCAAGAACCCAAGTCGTGTAGGCCCCACTAGTGCCCCCTGCTTCAGTAGCTTCCTCCAGCCCATCCAATCGCCTCGTCCGCCTGCATGCTGCCACCCCGCTGCAGAAGCCTGTCCCCCCCCGTCCCAGTCGTTTTTGCCCGCCGGCTGTTGCGAGCCGGTTTCGCCCCTCGTCCCTCCGCCGGCACCTGATTTGCTCGGCCGGCGCGGATGCGCGTGCGCAGCGCAGCGCCCTCCTGGCGTTGAGAGCGGCTCGCGCCTTAGTGATGTCTTTGGCACCTTTGTACCGGCACGCCCACACTCTAGATAGAAAAAGGAGACCAGCCGTTTTAGCGCCGAATTGGTACCAAAGTCACCACACACCAGAGCCCATGCGTCCGCCTTGGAGTGACTTGACAGGCCGGGGCATATCTCCTGTTGAGTGTAACAAAAGGTCACCTGCTGTCAACCTGCTGTCAACCTGCGGCTGGTGGGGTGCCGTGCAGTCTCGAGTCCTCCCGATGTGAATTGTGGGCTGGGGTGCTGTGAGCAGGTCAACAGACAGGCCTCTCCTGAGGCACATCTGGCGAGCGATGGCCAGCACAAGGCTATTGCATTGTAGGTAATGTGAGGGCAGATGAGCTTACGCACCTCGCGCATAAGCGCGCTTGCGGGGACGCGTGTATCCTTGCTGATCCTGGTCAAAGTGCTGCCTGCTTGACTGCAACTTTGTGCAGTGACTCAGCCCCGTGTGCCCGCTGAGGGCAGGCACCTGGCCCTTCGTGCTCAAGCTGCATCAAGGCAGCTGGGCACAGCACATTTCCTGGCGCCGCCAGATCCACCGCAATCTAGCGATCACCTGTCCTGGCTGGACGCAGCAGCACCTCTTGCCACGTGTGCTCAAGCACCTCGTGCCCCGCCAGTACGATGGATAATTACAGGAAGCAACGCCTCAGTTGCAGAAGCCCCGCAATCGCAGGTGTGCAGCAAAAGCCCCTCAGCTTGTCTCACCCCAATCGCCGCTCAAGACGGCAGCCCATGCCCCGCCCCCCGGGGCCCCACGCCAGCTGTTGCAGGGGGCGTGCGGCGCGAGCATGCGTGGCAGCGGGGGCAGGTATCTGCCAGTGTACACGCCGTAAGAGTAGTCATCGGGGTCGCGGCGTCGGATCGAGCCACAGACTGCGGCCGAAGCAAAGCAGCCGCTGCTTGCAGGGCCCTCATTGCCAGTAAAGTCGGGGGCGCTCCTGCCACCGCCGCAGCGGCAGCTCTTGCAGGCGCAGCTTCCCACCGCCAAAGGGTCTGCGCCACCGCCGCCGTCCTCGCAGTAATCAGAAGCGGCACGCGCTTCGCGGCTCCAAGGCGGCGGGCGGCGGTAGGCGCCCGGCCCCACCCACTCCCTCGCCCCCCTGCTCTCGGCTGGCCGCGCGGCGCCAGGCGGCGGCGGCGCCCCATCACCCGGCCCGCCCGCCTCCCCCATTTGCGTTGCCCAGATTGGCGCCTCCGACGCCGCGTGCCGCGACCCCGGCCATCGCATCCCATCTGCAAGGCCGGTCACCCTGAGTCGCAGCCTGCCCAGAAAACCCACCTCCCTTGACTCCTCCCTTTGGGCCCCCGAATTTGGGAGCCCCCCTCCCTGCTGCGAGACGAGCCGCCCCCACTCGCTGTCCCTCAGCTGCCTCAGCGTCGCCCGCCGCCCCGGCACCGGCTGCAGCGCCATCCGCAAGAAGTCCTGTGCAGCCGCCGGCAGCCCCGGCCACCGCGGGTGGTGCTCGAACGCGAGCAGGCCGTGCAGAGCCCTCTCGAAAACCATCAGCTCGCGGATCCCCAGGCAATCGCCGTCGGCCGTCGCAGGCATGGGCTCGCCGTCGCCTGCCGCCGCGGCCGCCGCGGCCGCCGCCTCCGCCTCCACCTCGCCGCGCGTGGGCACGAGGGGATTGCGGCCCAGTGCCAGCGCCGCGGCCGTCACACCCATCGAATACACGTGAAACGCGGGGCCCGTGGCGGCCGCCGCGCACCGCGCGTCAAATGTGCGGCCATCAGGCTGCAGGCCGGCCGCCCACGCCTCTGGCGGCAGAGTCTCAAAGCAGGGGTTGCACACGTGGCCGAAGGGCAGCGCGGCTGCGACGCCGGTCACACTGACGTGCAGCGGCTCTGGCCGGCACCAGCGCGTGGCCGGCGGTGGGGGCTTTGCGATCAGCAGCTTCTGGGGATTCAGGTTGGTGTGGCAGCGGCCCTGCGTGGTCGCGCGACGGTCGTGGGGTCGCGGCACGCAAGGGTGTCTGTCAGGTGTGAAGGTCGTGAGGAGCAGAGGGAACATGGTGCGCTCCAAATGCTTGGGCCCATTGCACGGCGTGTTGATTTGGAAGCATCAAGAGCTGCGCGTGCTGATGCTTGGCAGCCTGCAAAAGTGCCCCCAGCCCACTGTAAGCTGCCCTCCTTGCGCCCGCGCTTGTCCTCCACCAGCCTCTGCAACTCGCATAGCTCCCTGATCAACCTGTAGCAACCTCCACCCTGGCTCAGCGCAACATAACCCATCACACACAATTATGCACGCCCGTGCACGCAAAGATGCCCAAGCGCACGCACACACGCAGACACACACACACACACACACACACACACACACACTCACACACACTCACACATGCACACACGCACATGTGCGCACGCGTCCACACACACACGCACACACAAACACACATGCACGCAGGCACACACACTCACACATGCACACACGCACGCGTGCGCACGCGTCCACACACATGCGCGTGCATACACACACATAAGCGCACCTCCTTTTCGCAGGCGGCCAGCACGTCCAGCATCGCCCTGGTGGCGGCCTTGGACAGCTCGAGGTTGCGCTCCCTACCCCTCCAGCTGCCGTCCGCGCTGATAAAGTAGGTGATGTCAGCGCCGCCATACTCGTACACCAGGTCGGTATGCCTCTTGCCCTTTGATACCGCCAGCAAGGCGGGGATGTAGGGGCTACGGACGCGCCTGTGCACCGCGATTTCCCTCTTGACCTGACCGGTGGCGGGGTTGGTTGTGGTGCAGCGTCTTTGGAAGGGGGTGGGGCCATGCAGCGGAGCGGGGCCGGGGCGGGAGTGTAGCAGTTGGGGAAGCGCGACAGGCAGCAGGTTTGGAGCTTTGAGCGCTGATTCGCGGGAGGGAACCTGCCGGGGCCAATGCAATCCTCCAAGCCGTGCTAGACCTGGGCCGGCTGCGACACCAGGCGGCTGCTCTCGCCCGCCCTCCCTTGTCCCCGTCCGCTTGCCGTCGTCGCACGGCGGCCGCAGCGGCGTCGCGCGGGCCTCACCAGCTCGCTTATCCAGGGCAGGTTGCTGCTGAGCCAGATGTTGCCCTTGGGCGGCGCTCTCAGGACGAGGGACTTCACCACGTACAGGTGGCCGTCCAGCTGCGTGACAAATACCTTGGTGTCGCCGCTCTCATACAGCACGTCGCCGTTGCGGTACCACCTCCTGAAAGCGGCAGGGGCGGCGGGCCCGCCGCGGGCAAGCAGGAGTGAGCGAGGGCTGGCGAAACAGGCGCGAGCTTGCTGACAAGGCGTGAGCGCAGCAGGTGCGCTTGCTGCTTGACGAGTCGCGCCCGGAAGTTGGGTCCGTTGCTGGACCACAGTGCTATATCATCTTGTTTGCGATCCCATTGTCACGGTTCTCACTTTGGCTGCCGCGCCAGGACCACCGCGGAGTGAGGCGCTGTTTGAACATGGTCTTCGTCTGTCATTCTACACAGGTTCAAAACAAATCAGGATGGTAAACCAACACACATGCTTTCGGAATTTCGGCGTGTGCGCCTTACACGAAATAACTTGTGACGGCTGCGTGCAGCGACTCCTGCGCGCTCTGGAGCTCCCCCCTCCCTCCAGTGTCAAGGCTGATCTACATTATTGCCTGAGCGTACATCAAACTGCAATCAAACCAATCAAGACACAATTCCCCCTACCCTTTGAGCGAGGATGCTCTGTACTAGGTGGGGAGGAGTGTCACGGGACAGTACTAGTCAGACTGAGGGGTTAGTCTCCCAGGCTGCTAGGACTGGGCCTTATCTGTCGACACCTAGCTGGGAGTCACTGCCAGTAGAGCAGCTGCCCAGTAGGCGCCCCTGGGTGACTGGGCCTGTGAAGGGGTCAGGGGCTTAAAGTCGTTGAAGTGTCCCAGTCTGTATTCTTGGATCGATAGCCTGTTGCATTGATCGTGATGCAAATACATCAGACAAAGCGATGGCGGCTGTTCCTGCATGGTCCCCAAGACCTGCCTCCTGTGCTGCAGTTGATCAGTTGATGATCACGGCCAAGGTTGGTGCCCCTTGCAATGCATTGTGCTGCTCCCAAGGCCCAAAAGTACCCATGTGCACACACACCAACGTTGCTGGCCCGTGACTTTCAAAGTCTTTTGATAACAGAAGGGGTCGCCTGTGAAACGCATGCCCTGGTGGCGACAGCCTGGGTGTCCATGCTTGGAAGTGTCAACTTTATCGATTTGCCGCCTAGTTCCGTCAGGTTTGTACACAACAGATGCCCGTCATTAGCACACTGCAATTTGAGGGGCTCAGCCTGCCCGCCTGGGGCAGATGATGGGACGAGGCTGACCAGGTGGTGGGCTCAAAGCCAGCGGCCTCGTGCGTTCGCACCTTGGGCATGCTCCAGCGTTGATTATGGGGCGGCTGCCGCGCTAGCTCGCTGCACACGTTCCCCTGCTGTAGCATACCAGAAAATGCACTGGCAGCCGTCTCGTCCAGGCGCTCAACTTTGCAACCTGCAACTGGAGTTGTGCTGGTGTAAGAGGAATGTGGGCCCAAGTGGCCTGCGCGCCCTTCCTGCTGCCCCTTGGTGAGTCTCCTTTCAAACAGCCTGTGTCGCCAAAACCACAACGGAAGAGAGAGCCCGTAAATTAGATGATCTTCAAGTCCCAAGGGTCAGCACGATCCTGCTGGACTTGGGCACAGCATCATCATCAGAATTCATGTAACGAAGCAGTGCTGGCAATTGTCCACCTCAGCACCAACTGTACAAAGCTCAAGCGTGCGCTTGTGCTGTGCGGACGGTATGTTTGATAATGGTGACGCCACCAGGTGAGCGCACCAAGGCTGTTCAAGCGGTACGTAGGTGCTGCCGCTGCTGCTGCATGAAACCCAAAGCTAGCGGAATGCGCATATGTACTCCTACGCAATCAACATATTCATCTTGACACAAACTCACCGCAATGCACAGATGCAGTCCCTGAAGCTCCCGTGAACGCACCCCCAACCCAGGCCAGCCGACATCTAATCGCTGTGTGCCGAAAGTTCACTGGCCGCCCCTCATGGGTTGCAACATGCCCCACCCCGCCTCCGCCATCCTGCGCCGCACCGCTTCAGCCGCCTGCGACGGCTTGCTCTCGCCGCCGCCCGCCTCCGCCTTCTTGCCGCGCTTCCATTCGTCAAGCAGAGCACGCACGGACGCAGCCAGTGACTTGTTGCTGCGGTTGCCGCTTCCCACAACCCTGGGGTCCCACGACCTGGCAGCAGGTGTGGGGAGTGTGTGTGCGTGAGTGAGCGAGTGTGTGTGTGTGTGTGTGTGTGTGCGCGCGTGCGTATGTTTAAAACTATGCATCTGCGCCTGGATGAGACAGCCTGGTGCACCGCTGCACCACCTCTAGGCACGGACTTTGTACAAAATAAAACAGTCCAGGGTGGCGGATGCCCGCTGATCACCATAAGGCCTCTGTGTACTGCATGAGATTCGCGCGCACGAACTGCCGCGCCTCGGCCGGCACGCGCTGTGACTCCAGGACGTGCGCCACCTGCTCGATGCGCGTGCGCTTGATCGCTTCCTGGTGGGTTCACGTTTAAAGGCGAGCGGCCAGTGGGTGTTAGGGAGAATATAGGGGGCTGCCATTGAGTTATGCCTGGCGGATGGGCAGATTTGACAGTGTTTTTGCAAACCAGGCAAATGCTCATAGAAAAACCCGGCATCAACCCAGAACATTGAACAGGGCTCCAGTCGCGGCAGTGATCCGCACCCCACCGACGTTGGTGCAACGCTGGCCCTCGGACGCTCGGTGCATTCGCCACCACGCCGCGCGCACGCGAACACAGCCGCGCCGCGCACCGTGCCCAACATCTGCCGTCAAAAGCACACCGCCTTTGCCAACAAGACCGCACCAAGCGCCGCTGCAACGGCGGCAGCACCCACCGTCGTCATCAAGCGGCTGATCGCCTCCTGCAGCCCCACGCCTGTGCGCTTGGCGTCCCACCAGGACAGATCCCAATATCCGCGCATGCTGACCGTGTACACCAGCTTCTCATCCAGCCCGCGGCTGTCCAGCTCAGCCACGACGGCCGCCTTCCTGCGCGCCATGACCAGCTGCGGGTGGTTTTGTTTGTTGGGGGGAGGGGTGGTGGGAGGCCGGTGCTGTCACGTGGCGTGTCGTCGGCAGGCGGCGGCTAAGCGGTCCGGGCGTCAGGCGTGTGAGCTTGTCTGCTGGCGTAGACGCCGCGTGTCCTCACGGCAACTATGGCGATATGGGATGGAGCCTGTCGCAACGCAGAGTCCTGTCAGAGCCCTTGAATGGCAGGCGTGGGGACGGTGCCGCGCCCAGGTCGGGCGTCGGCCGGTCAGAGCCCCCTCCCCCCCCCCCACCTGTGTTGTGATCACCCTTGGGTTGGGCATCAGCCCGTAGTGGGTGTACTGCCTGGTTCGACAGGGTTTGAGGGCAGTGCAATCTGTGGAGCCAACGCTCTGCGTGTCCATTCCACTTGCCCACAAGCACTCTTACGTCAATGCACCCCCACACGCTGGCCACAACTCACATGAAATGCGCGCCGCCGCCTGCACCAGCACGCTGTTGAGGCAGTTTTCTGACGCATGGCGCGCGAGGAGCGGCCGGCGCGCCCCCACCCCACCCCCTCCACCTGAACGCGTGCGCGTGCTCCGCCCAGTCCATAGGCTCCCGCCGGCGCCAGCGCTGCAGCTCCTTCTGCGCCTCAGCGGTGCGCGCCTTGATGAGGCTGGCCTTGGAGGCCCGCACCTTGCTGCGTGAGAGGATGTGGAGGAGGTGGAGGAGGAGGAGGAGGGGTGCATGTGCGTGCACAAAGGCGATTGGGCGAGCATTCGTCAGGGGTGTGAATGAATGCTTTGGAACTGCAGCGGCTGCGGCGACAGCTGCGCTGTGAAGCAAAGACTTCGTGCCTGTGCCTGGGGTCAAAGGCGACAGCACGCGTGCCCCTTCCCTATTGCCAGGCTGCGGGTATGCAGGGTTGTGGGTGGGATGGGGTCGGCACGGGGAAGCTGTACAGGCCCCCTTTTCAACTCTGCCTCCAATAACCCACAACATCCATAAAACCCACTGCTTGCGATCCAGGAACGCCGCCTCGCCCCCAAACTTCTGCCGCGCCTTGGCCACAACGTCCACCAGCAGCAGGGGTGCGTAGGGCCGGCCGCTGCGCAGCTCGATGAGCTCAACCTGTGGAGGGGGGGGAAGGCCGTTTGGTATGTTGGGCACCGTTTGCCTGCAGTAGAGTGCATACACCGATCAGAAGTCGGCGGGGATGCTTGCCTGACTTGCCGCCAAAACACAGCGGCTCGCAGCTCTGCTTGTTTGTGCATGTCCCCTTGGTGATACGCGAGCATGGTTGCGTTCATCACGTGGAAGGGGCCCGCCTGAGGCGCCCCTGCTGATTACACATTCTGAGTTGTTGGTTCGACGGCCGCTTACACTTCAGCAAGATTTGCCCCTCCACGCGGTTTGACCCGAGGCACCCACCTCTGAGAGTCGCCACTTGGTGTGGGCCTCAGTGGGGCTGACCTCCTCCTCGCGCTCCGCTGCCATGGCTGGAGACAGGAGGGTGGTGGGGCGATGCGGGGGTGTGCCGTTTGGATGCCATCACCTCTTTGAAGGTTGGGCGCGCATCAGAAGAGGCAACTGAGGTCAGCCGTCGTCGTCAACGCGTGCTGCTTGACAAACCGTTGGTTGTAGCGCCACACGACGCGCTCAACAACTGCCAAAACACAGCAGGTTGCTGCGGCCAAAGCAACAGCATCATGCGGGCCGGGTGCACGGCGAGCTCACCGCGGAACAGCCGCCGCTCCCAGCGCGGCAGCGTGCTGCAGCACTCGGCCTGCACCAGCTGCCGCAGCCGCGCGACAGTCGGCGCCGGCTGCGGCGTGCTGCGCCGCTTTTTTGGCGCCGCGCGGTCTATCTGTGCCTGCTGCGCCCACGCGCGCAGCTGCTCCACGGGTGCGGATTTGACCTGGGCCTTTGACAGCCGCAGGCCCTCGTCGGGGCGCGCGTGGGGCGGCATCAACTTGTGCCGGGCCTCGGCCATGACCATCGAATAGTACCGCTTGCATGAGAGCGCCAGGCCCAGCGCGGCACGCAGCTGCAAAGGTGTAGGGGTGCGTCGTGGATGAGAGGAAACGAGGCAGGTTCGTCGGCATTCGCAATACTGTAGAGCGAGCGGCTGGCTGTCCATGCAGCTGCACGGCGTCATGTGTAAGCGGCCCTGTTCATGAGAGTTGGAACGCCACTCAGCATTCCTGTGCTCTGCGGCGGCCGTACTGCACACCACACCTGGTCGGAGCGCAACTGCAGCGCTGTTGGGTGGCACACTAGCGCCGCTACGACGTTCTCCACCAACTCGTCTGGTAGCAGTGCAAATGGAAAGCGTGTTCTGCTATCCATCAGGCCCGATCACGCAGCAGCTCGCGTTGCGAGGCGGAGGAAGACTGTGGGCTCGTCGTTGTTGCTGCGTGTCAGGGCGAGTTGAGAAAGTTCTGTTCGTGAACACAATGACACGCCAGATGTGACAGGCATTTGTGCAAGGTGATCAGCCATACGCAGTGCGGCGGCACTTTGGCGCCGTGACGGATTTTGAACGGGGCACCTGAGTGACGACGGTGACGCTGAGACGTGCGATGAGGCTGTGCAATATCGTGTAGTTCGGCAGCCAAAGAAAATGTCGCCACCAAAGAAACTGTGGTAAACATCATATCCACCGTGCATGCCAGCCGTACTTGCCCTAGATCTGCCCAAAGGCCCGAACGCACCACCCTTGTCCTGCCTCCCAAATTCCGTATGCACGTGACCCCTGCAAGGTCTCACCTTGGATCTGCTGCACAGCGCATCGAGCATCTGTTCATTGGCTGAGAAGAGCGTGCCTCCAGCCAAGCCAACGAGGCACCTCTCCAGGGACTGCCAGTTGCTGATAGTGGTTGCGTGTTGGTCGTGTGTTGCTGTCGGTGCGTGCCAGGCTATGCTGGGCATTCCATGCACCAGCTGGTAGCAGCCGGCATATGGGTCGAGTCAAGTAGACCAAGGCCAGCCTTGGTTCAGGTAGCCCAAGGCCAGCCGCAGTATGTGCCTGCAGGCTGAAGATGCAATCAATGGGCACGTGGCCTTTGCTTGGGCGTGGTGCAACTCCAGGCACTGGTTGTGCCTCAACAGTCTTCAAAGGCAGCTGTTGCTTACCTCAGCGGGCTGGGCCCAGGCACACTGCGGAACCACGCGGCGGCCTGGCCGCAGGCCGTGTCGGGCTCGGCTGTTGCGGCCTACATGCCGGCGCCTGCGGTGTTGCCAGCAGCCAACGGCACATTGGGGTAGCTGATCAAGGTCTTGTCACCCGCAACCAGCTCCAACGCCCAGCCCACTCCAGGTGACCCGCCACCCGTCATGCCAGCTGCCGCTGGGATCTCGCCGCTTTCAGGCCCTGCTCGCAACTGCAAGGGCAGTTGCCCACTGCCCTTCCCCCCTTTTCCCTGCTGTGCATTTTGCAGTGCATTCGTTTCCATCGAGTGTAAGCCAATGCTTCAAGTTGATAGCCCTTCTGCCCTATGCCTTGAGGAGGAGATTCTGACCATTAGGCCACACAGCCACAGGAACCTGGCTGCAGTACTTCAACAAGGCGTGTCAAAGCGTCCCGCGGCCTCACCGCAGCAGCAACGCAAGCAGCAAAAGCGAGCCGCTCCCCAGCGGACAAAAACGGGCGGGCGGGCGGGCAGGC